TTGGCTCATTAACACAGCAATCTGCCGCTGCACAGCTGGTGGAGAGCTGAGTCTGTAGCCACTCGGATGCTGTGTATGAAATATGTGTTTCAAACATTAAACTACCATTCCTTTTAGTATATTGCATATATTAAGCTTCACTCATCCACACAGATAACAGTTCTGAATTAATTTCACTTTACAAGCTGAGCTTCTGGGCCTCTGCTCTCGTAAAGACAGAGAACGAGGGGGCCCTGGTGACTGTCAGCCCCAACCACAAGTCATCAAGACTCTCAAAACACCCCATAAGGCTGAAGGGGTTTTAACTCCCTCAAAGCCAGCTCAGAGGAACACCAGAAGTCTCCTCAAGGTACACACCTTTCTCATTCAAACATCAAAAGCTCTCAAAATCCAGAGAACAGTCCTGCTTAAGTGGTTTTAAATTGTCTTTCTCAAGTCCACCTCAACTGGCTTTCTCTTTACAGACTGAAAACTCCCAATAAAAACTCCCAATAACCCCACACTTTCCCTTTCAGTCTGTGAGTAACTATTCTTCTTTTGAGAAGAATCCTGGCCTCTTCTTTTGAGATCCAGATTCCAGAACCATACGAAGTCTCAAGATAGAGGACTCCTAGGAAAGCACTAGGCAGGTGTTTCCCGGGTCAGCACAAACGGGTTGGGTTGTGAGTTATTCCACCTCCCAAGACAGCCGTTTGGAATGGTAATGTATATCCTGTGCTATTATATGCTGGAAGTATAGGATCTGCTTTTTGATTTTCATTTTTACAGGGGGATTACAGTTAAGAAATTGCCATGCATTTCAGAAGAGACTTTGGACTTTGAAACAACTTTGAGACTTATAGACCATGGGAACTTTTAAAGTTAGATTGAATGTATTTGTGTGTGTGTGTGTGTGTGTGTGTGTGTGTGTGTGTGTGTGTGTGTGTGTGTGTTATGATATGGCTATAAGCCTTTGAGGACCAAGGAGTTGAATGTGGTAGTTTGAAAGAAAATGACCCCCCAAGGGAGTGGCACTATTAGGAACTATGGCCTTGTTGGAGGAAGTGTGTCACTGTGAGGGTAGACTTTGAGTTCTCTTATGCTTAAGTTTCCCTCAGTGTGACAGGCAGTTGACTTCCTGCTGCCTGCAAGATATGGACCTCTCAGCTACTTCTCCAGCACCTCGTCTGCCTGTATGCCACCATGCTCCCCATCATGCTGATAATGGACTGAACCTCTGAAACTGTAGGTGAGCCACCCCAATTAAAGTTTTTCTTTATAAGAGTTGCTGTGGTCACGGTGTCTCTTCACAGAAATAATAATAATTAAAAAAAAAAAACCCTAACTAAGACAGTGACAAATTTGAGGACATGGGAGAGAGCCTAGAACAAAGACTTGCCCTGATGCTAAGCCCTGGGGGGGGGGGGGCTGAGCAGCTATGTCTTTGCCTCTGAAGCACTGTCCACCTTTCAGACATTCTAGTCAGTTATTTGTATCAGGAAAAATGGGCTGACTGAGGACACATGGATTCCTTAAACTGCCCAACATCCTGATCCGGTTTCTCCATGCTGAAGGTGTCTCAGTGTCTAGGACCATCTTTGTGCCTCTCGGTATACTGAAGTGCTACTGTGATTGTTCCGGTTAGAGTTAAGCAATGGCATTCACTATGGACTGCTAACTCATCCGCTTGTCTGTAGGTATTGTAGGTGCCCTCATCATGTTTCAGCTTCCACCACCCAGCTGGAGGCAGAGCAGACTCCTTCTCATTTACCCCAAGTCCCTAAGTCCTCACACAGCGTCCCTATCCATGAGGTCCAATACTGTATCCAGGAGTGAAACGAAGCCAGCAGAATGGAAATCTTTCTCCATGAACTCATTCTAGGGCCATCGCTCTCTTTCCAGGGACTTTCCTATAACTGCTCTGCTGCTGATTTTGCCCAAGTCTCCTCAAGCATAAGTTTTCAAGGAAGACAAGATGGCTCCATTTCCACTGTTCTGTGTCGTGAGCAGGATGTTCATATTTTGCTGCCAGCTATGAACGCATTAATTAACACCGGAATCACAACGTAATCTCCACAGAATTACAATCTGCTGCCATGTTGTAGAATTTGTGCTGCTACAGAGAGAAACGAAAATGATGGCTGGCTTCGGAAAGCAAGTCCTGAATTGGGTCCCATCACAAAGCCACTGACCCGCCACAGGGGGAGAAAGGAGACACACGTGGTTTTATGGTTTAGAAAAATGGCTTGCCAGGGGAAATATCCCGTGGGACTGAAAGAACTGAGACAGTGACGGGGCTCTCCTTAGCTCACACTATGTCTAGCATTGGAAGCTGAGTATTCAAGGGCGTCTGAAGAGAATATCTCAGCAGTTACAAGCAAATGTTCATGTAACTGCTCTGTATAGGCCACAAGCACACCCTGTGAGGTGAGCCACAAAGGCAGGTGACCGAGGGCCAATGAGGAGACATCTTCTCTCATGAAGATGTTTATGGGGTAGACGTCACCATGATATTTTTTTGTTGTTTTTCTTTTCTTTCTCCCCCCCGCCTTATTTTTGGTGTGTATGTGTGTATGTGTGTGTGTGTGTGTATGTATGTGTGTGTGCATGTGCAAGTGTGTACATGCAAGTGTGTATGTGTGTATGTGCAAGTCTGTATTTGTGTGCAAGTCTGTATGTGTGTGTGTGCATGTGTGCAAGTGTGTGTGTGTGTGTGTGTGTAAAAGTATGTATGTGTGAATGTAGGTGTCAGAGGTTGGTGTCAATGTCTCCTCAGTCACCCAGCACCATGCCTGCCTGCATGCCACCCTCAGTGATGATCCTGGACTAAACCTCTGAAACTGTAAGCCATCCGAATGAAATGTTTTCCTTCATAAGATTTTGCCGTGGTCATGTTGTCTTTTCACAGCAATAGAAACCCTAACTAAGACAACGAGAAACTGTTTTAAAGGGTTGCAGCATTAGGAAGGTTGAGAACCACTGCTCTAGAAGAAGGTGCTTCTCAAACCTTAATATACACACTTGAACAATGTCATTAAAATTTAGATGGAGATTCAACAGGTCAGACAGAGACGGCTGTGAGAATTTTGCGTTTTTGAGGATGTTCCCAACGACACCACTATAGTGGTGCTGTGTAGACCACCCTTGGAGAGCCAAGCTCTAGAGCTGTTCTCTCATGTGGCAGCCAGTAGCCACATGTGACTACTAAGCACTTAAAATGGGCCTAGTCTGAGCTAAGTATTTATAAGTATAAAACACACACTGGATTTAGAGTAAATATGTCAAATGAACTATTTCATATTGATCACATCTAAAATGCTAATATTTTTGATGTCTTGGGTTAAATAAAATATTAATTACTCTTAATCTTTGATTTTATTATTATTAACATATGTGTGTTGTGGCTGAAGTCGGGGGCCATATATACTATGTGGCATGTGTGGCGCTCAGAGAACAACTTCGCCAAGCTGGTTTTCTCCTCCCATCATTATGTGAACTGTAGGGATCAAACTCAGGTTGTCAGGCTTGTGGATCAAGTACTTTTAGCCTCACAGCTATCTTGCTGGCTTAATTATTTAACATTTAAATTCTTTTTAAAAGGTAGAAAATGTAAAACTGCACGCAGGAGTCTTGTGAGTCTATCATACGGCATCATTGTAAAGAGCAGACATTGTCTTCATTACTGAGTCCAACACTGCTTGTGAAGATGCTTCACAATGAGGGGTTTAAAGCATCAATGACTACTTTGTCTTCAGCACACTGTTTTTAATGTCAGCTCTCAAAATATGCCATTCATAAAGTCAACATGAACTATCATTAATGGCCTTCCATGGTCTTAAAACAGTGGTTCTCACCCTTCCTACTGCTGCGTCCCTTTGATACAGTTCCTCACGTTGTGGTGACCCAAAGCATAAACTTATTTTTGTTGCTACTTCATAAATGTTATGTTGCTACTGTTGTGGAACATAATGTAAATATCTGTGTTTTCTGATCACCTTAGGCGACCCCTACAAAAGGATTGTTCGACCCCCCTCAAAGGAGTCACAACCTATGGGCTGACAACTGTTGCCTTAAAAAGTAAATGTCAAAATCGACTCTTAGCTTTCCATCTCATCTTCTTTCCCAATTTATGGATAATTGCTTGTCTCAAGACAAGCTTGAAATGTCAGTGTTTTGTTTGGCTAATGATGATTCTGATCAATACTGAGAAAGCTTTTTCTAGAACAGCCTGGCCTACCCTGCGCTTTTCAAGTTAGATTTATTTTAATCTTTACTTAGTTGTAAAAGTAAAGGTTGTAATTTCTACCAACAATGGTAGATATGAAGCTTTACTGAGGCAACTAAAATGATGAATTACTTTAAAAATTCTAGGGTGACCAAATACAGCAATAATTTTTACTGTACTTGCTTTAGAGATTTTAAATAGTCCACGGTGCCTCTGTGGATCTGCTGCAATGTCCTAGGGTGCCTAAGTATGCAGTTTTGAACATCTATACATTATCTTTTAACTTTGAGGAGTAAAGGGTTTTTAAAATTGAAATTTCAAACTCACTACTCTTCACTGATGGCATTCACCATCTACTGCTCTAGCAGAGAATAGTGGAATGTTAAGATGGAGTAGGCTAGGCATGGAAGACAAGACTGTTTTATTGGGGGCAAGGAAACACATTCTTGTGATGCCATCCAAGAATCAGGTCTGGGGTGGACCACTAGAACTTCCAAGCAGTCCAAAGACTTCTGTCCCCAATTCCCACTTTTCCTTTTCTACCTTGCAGTATGGTAGTTTGACTTAGAACCTATCTCCTAAAACAATGAGCTGAAGACCCAGGCAGTGATGACTTATGAAGACCTTATTGTCCATGTTTATGTCATGTGGAATGCACACAGACACACATACACTCATTACAGTATGTTTCTGAAGCAGGTGAGAGCACATCCCAGCTGGCCTCATGACATCACATCAGTTCACACTGCCATTGACCCAAGCAATGCTTTATTTCTCAAATGCCATGGGAACCTACCATAGGCCCAGGGCTTCCGAAACAGTGACGCTGGAGAGTAAGGGAGAATGAAACTTGGTCAAAGTAATTATCAATGCATCCAACTAGAAACTTCTAGAAGAGAACAAGATTACACACATAAGTTATTTTTGATAATATTAATAATGGTGACTAATACATATTCTTTTTATAATTTTGATTTGAAGGCTATTTTCTAGATGGCCAGATACAAAAAGAAAGCACCACAAGGCTTGCCTGCGGCTTAAAGAGATTATAGACAGGAAGTTGTTTATTTGTCAGAGAGGCGGACTCATGCTCTCCCAGGGGCTCTCAGTCTCTTAAATAGAACTTTAATGCATCTCTTTTCCATTTATACTTCTTCTGTCACTAAAACAAACTGAAAAAGAAGAAGCCATTTGGATACTATTTTTTAAAGTTAGTGGTTTAAATTTAACTTGCAATTGTATTTTTTTCCCCTTTTAAAAATATTTCTTGGAAAGAATAAAAAACAGTCTTCCCAGCTTGTGGTATTGACAGTGTTCCAGAAGACCCAGGACCCCTGTGGCTCCCTGATGAGTGTTGGGAAGCCAGCATCTGTCAGCACTGCTCCTGGTGATCAACCAGAAATAGGTGCCTGGTGACAGTCCCAGTTCATCATCCATGTTGCAGCCCCCAGGATGGAGGAAAGAACTATGCAGTTGCCTGGCAATTATGCTATAATGGATAATTCAATTAATAAAATAGCAACTCAACCTTAACCTATTTATTGGTCATATATTGAGGGCTAGAGGCTATTTTGTATTCTATGGGTAATAAAAATAATAATATCATTATCTTCACAGGAAAAAGCTGAGGAATTACAGCCACACAGCCAGCTACCATAGAAGGCAACAGAGAGGAAGCATAAGACAAATACTGTATTCTGTGAATTCTTGTGAGGAAGAGAAGTAGCTATTGAGAGATGACTAAGCATCCTTGACATTTCTTCATTTAATTTCCACATACTTTCCACAAAAGCCCATAGGATAAGAGAACCCCTCTTTTGTACATGAGGAAACAGTTTCTTCAAAGGCTGTGTCATTTTGTCATGGCCACACAAGCAATTTGAATTCTCATTTAAAATCTATTCTCTTTCCACATGTTACTTGAGGCCAAAAAGAAAAAAAAACAACCAAAAACAAAGAAAAGAAAGAAAATCTACAATAATTTATTAAAATGAGGCCTTATGACAGGCTGTGATAAGAGTGTGACAGGGGGGCAGTTTCTTTTCTTTAACATTTTAAGTAAAATTTTCTTTTCTCTGTTTTGCTTTTATAAAAATTACACATGCAAAATCTTCTACTACTCTAACTGATTAGCTATTTTCTGCGGGCTAATTCCCCATTCATACCCAGATAAGCGTGATTAGCTGGTTGTTTCAGTGTTCAGTCATGACCTCTTTTTTCCAGTTAGACATGTCCAAGAGCCTGGGAGGGAAGAGTAGGGGCTAGTGAGGTCAACCAGGTCGAGTCACACCCTGAGGAGACACTTTGTTCTTTTCCTTGCACACTAGCAGCCTTCTTACTATCTGCTTCCTGGAAGATGAAATTCCTTCTCTCTTGTGAACATAATGCCCAATCATGAGGATGAAGGTGAAAGAGCTGGGATGATATGGCTTTGGGCTTTTTCTTACATAAAACAACTGAACTCTGAAGACCCCGTCTCAAAAAAAAAATGTTGGTCAGTACTTCAGGAATCATGACACCAAGAGTTCATTGAGATGTTGAAGTTGTTTTCTAGCTTACACACACACACACACACACACACACACACACACACACACACACACACACGCAGTAAATTTGGATCTATTCAAGCCTACACTAGCTTTTGTTGTTATTTGTAGACATGCATTGATAATTGAGATGCACACTATTAATGTTATTATACATTCCGATATCCTTCTGTACCTCCAATTTTGAAAACTGAGTTTTTCATTAACTATGCCTCAACATATAATATTTAGTATTTAATGCCTGCACATGGTTTAAGTAAACAGGATGCTATTCATTTTACCACCCCTACATGCATAGTTTTCTTTTTTTTTTGACACTATAAATTGATCTTGGTATTTATCTCCCTGTTTTACATCTTTGAATATCTAATGGGTTAGGGGTGGTACCAAGCAGGAACAAAGACATTCACAAAAAGACACAGAATGAGAAATTTAAGTCTTGTTCAGAGAACAGTCAATGATGTCAGTTGGCTGCTGGGTGGGACCATAGAAATTACTGGAAGAGCTTTTGATGGATGGGAGTGAAGCCAAGGAGAATGTTGCACGACAGGGTGAGGAGAGTTCCTGGAAGTGTCTGAGTGCTAGACGGTGGAGTAATTTAGGGATATGATCTCCAAATAGAGATTGGAATTAATGATGATAAGAAGCCAGAAGCAACCAAGTCATGAGGTTCATCAGTCCCAGAGCAGATGGCTGATGCCACACTCTGGTGTACACATGAGTGAGGTGACTCTATCTGTGGAATATATGGTGAAGACTTCCTACCACTTAGGAGTTGTACGTCTGGACTAGGAAGGAGAGGGGGAGAGAGAAATGAAAAATGGCCCCAGCTTTGAAGTCAAATAGCTGAAGAACGACGTGCAAAAACAGGGATGGCAGTGAGGGAAGGAGAGGGATTAAAAAATTTTGTCCGAGTTTATTTGCAAGGTCAAGATAAGGTGGAGGGTATGAGGGCAGAAGTTTGGGGTTACAATTGAATTTAGAGCTGTGGAGGAATTTGGGCACAGGGGTGACATGCTGGATGTCAGCAGCATGGGGGTAGGCTGTGATGATCAACCACTGAATGGAGAACTACTGGGGGCCTGACCTGGGGGCAGCTGCAGACAGGAGGAGGTCTGCACTGCTGCTGGCCCTCCAGGATTGGCTGACCAGTAACTGCATTGCTGTGTCAGCGGCAGCCGGCTACTGTGACCTGGGTCATAGACTGTTCCACAAATTACACACATGTAATGGTTTAGAGGTGGTACTTACGTAGCCACTTAAGGGGACCAGTTTGAATTCTAATAAGGCAGTTGTAACTGACAATTAGTTTGCACCTCTCAAGCACATAGAAACGCTGAAACCAGTCACATATTATTCCCCAACACAGATCTTGGGCAGACTGTCAAATAAAGAGAAATATCCTTCATAAGCAGCAATGTTAAACTGTAGGAGGCAGAACAAGAAGACAGAGACTGAACTGGTTTGACATTGCCTGTGCTAGGCACGCAGCAAAGGAGAGAGGGAGAGGCCATAGAATTTTAGAAATCTCTTTAGATACTGTGCAGGGATGCTCACATATCAGTGAGCATCTTTTGTTTGTCACTGTTGTGGGTATTGGAGGCACTGATGTTGGAACAAGAGACAGGGAGCCAGTGATGAGCTGAGCTGTAGAGGTGATGAGGAAGAATTAAGCTGTAGCTATCTTCTGAATGGCCATGACCCAAATCCTGCCTCATCTTCAGCTAAGACAGGAGAATTATAAGAGCACAAGGTTTGCTTGGATCACAAAGAGATTCTAGGAAGGGAACTGTTTATCAGAAAATCCACTGCAAGCCCCTTTAGGGCTTCTCAACTCCCCTAATTAGAACTTGAGTGGGTTTCTTTTTATTTTCTCACAAAAGTTACACTGGCCATGTCACTGGTGAAAAAGAAACAACCCACCTCTTTGAGGTTGACGAGCAAGGGGCATGAATATGAAATTGGGTAATAGCACCAGGAATGATGGATGAGCAAGCTGGGGAGCTTAGGAGGGATGCCCTGAAGGGGTGCTGGGGAGCACAGGATAAATGATGCAACATGTAGGCAGGAGCTATGGCAATGGGAGGAAGTGCCAAGCCTAGGAGCAAGAAAGGGGTGGAGGAAACAAGGGAGAAAGGGGAAGAGGTCAAAGGTCAGAGGTGTCTGAGTGGAGACTGCAGAAATGAGTTTCATCATGAGAATGCAACTGCAAAGTCAGACCTGTCTTGCCGTGAAGCCGTTCTGGGTCTCTCTGGGCAGCGTTCTATCTGGTCCTCCACTGTTGGTCTGCAGACTTCATCTGTGTTCCTTTATGGGGTGTGGCTACTCTCAGGACACAACCACAATCTAATCACCTCCATGTGAGCAGCAAGCAGAGAGCAGTGCCTTTTACAAGCCTTTGTTCAACCTGTGCCCTGTGGATGGGCATATCTACTCATTTACTTAAAACTTCAAAGACCAAAGATGCCTGGTGGTATTTGTTCTTACAGAGCTGGACAGAAGCTCTTGAGTGTGAAGAAGTCAAACAGTCATGTTGCCTGAGGTTTAGATGTAAGACAGTCTTGAATCTGATTCTCTGCTGGGCTTTCCCAGGATTTAATCAGAGGCAGGTCTGTGAAATGCTCTGAGTCTGTGAACTGTCAATGGAGGTGAAGAGGGGACAAGTGATCTTACTCAACAGGGAAATGTGTGGGATGACAGGTCAGAATAGGATGTACCAGCACTAATGGAATTACCAGCCTGCTGCCAGATGAGGGCTGCTCTAGGCTTTAGCCAGGAGTCCATGACCAGAGCAATGCCCAGGCTGCAGGAGCTGTGCCCACAGTTTCTTTTGCAGGTGCTGTAATCATTATGCTCCTTGCTTTTTATGGATAGTGTTAAGAAACGAAATATGATTTTCGTACATGTTCAAGGGAGTTCAAAGATATTTATTTTAAGAAAGAAAGAGGAGAATGGCTGTGAAGAAAGGAATAAACTTGGATACTGGGAAAGGAGAGAAAGGCACAGAGCAGATTGGGAAAAGATGAGAGATAGAAGCTCTTAAAGCAAAATTCACAGCTGGGACATAGAGAAGGCAGGCTCTAACTTGGTTCTCAAAAAAAGAATGGATGAATGTAGGTCACTGTTAGGGTACTTGTTAAGCATGTGCTAGGTCCTGGGTTGCACCCTTAATACAGTAAAAAAAAAAAAAAACACACACAAAAAAAACAATCAAACCGGAGAAAGTTTGAAAAGGAGAAAGAAAATGAGACACAGATAGACTGGATGAGGTGATGTTGGGTGTGTGTGTGTGATATAGAGCCAGGGGTAGAATCAGAGAGGAAAGGAAAGAGTGGACAAG